AAAATATCGGACTCAAGACCAAGGACGCGCAGAAAAACCTACGCGGGCACAGGAAGAAAAGAGGAGACAGGAAAAAAGGAAGAGCTCAAAAGAGAAGAAAAAGAGAAAGAAGAGAAAGAAGAAAGAAAACGAGGGGGGAAGGAGAGAGAAAAAAGAGGTCATACCTCTCCCTCACTCTAACCCATTTCAAACCCACCCCTACACTGCCCACCCCCAAACCTTCCCTGCCTACAAGATATCCTGGTGTCTTCGTCCCATCCTCCTCAGCAAAGTACTCGCTACAGAGCCTATTTCAGATGCTGCCGTCTGAGGCTGACATATCAGCAGCCATCTACGGAGCCATACAGGCCTATGGCTGGGGATACCTGGCTATCATCACTCAGAATGAAAACATCCTCACGTTGGTGAGCACCAGTTTTTCCGTCGTGATTTTTGTCACAAAAGAGCTACGTACGTATGAGCTATTAAGTGACGAGCTTGTTATTTTGCGACAACTTTGACAATTTAGTTGCAACTGCGAAATTTGTAGAGAAAAAGAGACACCAATACATGCTGACAGCTCTTCAATGAAAAATTCCCTGTATTCCTGTGTTTCCTTTCAACTACTTTTTCACCAAATGTTTGCACATGATATTTTCAAATTTTGTAGTAATTTGCATGTGTTGGACATGGTAATAAAGTCCATTTATAGCTCTTCGTTCTGGGTGATACACATGTTTAGTGTGCCATTCATGTGGCTTCTTACTCCTCTGTTTTGTGATAGAGAAAGTTTCTAAAAGAGAAAGTTTACACTCTTTCTGAAAGAGAAAGTTTACACTCTTTAATGGTCAAGCATAGTAAACAAGCTCTTGTAGGGCGCAAACGCAACCCTGAAAGCTCTTCCCCACCATACACATGTTGGCAGCGTGTGACAAAAGTGGTAGAAGAAAACCGTGGTAAACCTCTAGTGTGTGAAGTGATAGCTCAAAACATGTCTTGTTGTCCAGTATGTGAATCTTGTGAAAATATTATTACAGTTGAGTACTATCCTCCCTCTCATCCTCTTCCTTCCTGTCCACATCCCTGTTACACCTCCCTCATTGTCTGTCTTATATTCTCCCTCTGTATATTCTCCTGTCTTTCCCTTCTACTACTGGGCACCAAGGAAGGGGGGAGAAAGGGCACGAGGGCGCGCGGCGCACGAGACAGAGGCGAGAGCGGAGAACCGAACGAATCGCGCGCCAGCGCGCCAAAGGCAAAGATACGAGAAAGAGAGAGGCACCCGGGTCACCGAGCGAGAACGCGGAGATCGCGAAAAGGGCAGCTGTGCTAGGTCGCGCTGCTCGCGACGGGCGATGCAAAGGAAGATGACCCGCGACGCACAAGCAGAGCCAGAAGCAAGAGACGGAACCGCTCGCTCACCTGCCCCTCTCTCTACCTAGTATAACTCTCCAGGTCTCTCTCTATGCCATGCGCTCTCTGTGTCTATACCATGAGAGCCCCCTCTTACCTCTCTGCTCTCCCTACCTTCTCCCTTCCCCTCTCTCCCCCTCTTCTCCCCCAGACTACAGCGGAACTGGGAGAGAAACTCCAGGCTGCAGGTGTCCGGTATTCTGAGAGAATGTTTGAGACCAAAGACGGCATATCTCTCCTCAACAATAATGGAGGACTCTTTGTAAGTACTTCTTACTCAGTATAAAGTGAACTCCTTGTTGATGCGCAGCAACGGCTACAGCGTTTGGTCTGTCTGTCTGTCTCTCTGGCAATGAGCGATACCGGCGGCTTCAGAACTTACGCGAACCTGAAAAATAAAATGGCGATTTTAATAAAAACAACTGCATTTGGGAGATATGCATGAAAACAAGCGAAAGAAACCAATCACACTAGGCTTACCTTGACCTGATCCATGTACACCTTTGGAGGCACAAGAAGTCACAACAAAGGGCATGTATCGACTCACACATGCTATCTACTACTTCTTATACTGTAGCTAGTCTGTGTCAGACCCCGCTAGCACGAGTAACACATAGCCATAGCCCGGCCCATCAATTAGCGGCACTACACATGCGAAACGCGTGGAGGGTTGACATTACTGCTCCTTTACACCAGCACTCTATATTGTGACTCCATTACCAAGACATGTTTATTTTGTGTGTGAATTTCCAAACTTGTGCAGGACCCAAGAGCTAGGATATTCTTCATTGCAACTTTCAGCAGCCATGCCCGAGACATCATTTGTGCGGTACGTACCTATATATGGCTTACAACATCACACATTGTGCAAGTACAATACATTGTAGTGATTGTGCACAGACTGAGTGCCTGTGTCACGATGTTCAAAATAATGTTGGTGTCTTTCCCAAGTACTCATGTAGCACCCTTCTGTTGTGCATGGGCCAACAAGCCTGAAACAGCTGTCCAGAGCTCCACATTTTTTTCTCTTGGCATCACATGGTGTATTACCTTCATGGGTATACATGTAGAAAAACCGTGTGATGCCAGAGAAAAAAGATGGGAGCTCTGGAGCTCTGGACAGCTGTTTCCGCCCTCATCAGCAGACATGTGTGTCTTGTGAATTGTGAGGACAAGGGACAGCTGGTGTTGTATGTGTGCCACCCAGCACAGACCGGTGTGGTCAGAGGTGAAATATGCCTGTAGACATTTTATTACCAAACACCATTTCTGTGTGTATACATAGGAAAGATGTAATTGCATTCTTGAACTTTGTTGTTACACACATTTGCGACTCCTCTTTCTTCCTCCCCCTCCCTCCCTCCCTCCCTCCCTCCCTCCCTCCTTATCTCCCTCTCCCTCCATCTCCTCAGGCATACAAGAAAGGCTACCGCTACCCGCAGTACATGTTCCTCACCTATGCCTGGTACCCACCTCAATGGTGGGACAGAGAGACGAGCCCTGATTTCAACTGCACTGGAGAGGAGAGACTTGAAGTCTTGAATCACACACTCGCGTTTCTCCACTTCCCGTTTGTCAGATTCGGGGATGTGAATGCCTCTACTGATGTCAATGTGGTGAGAACACCCACTTTACTTTCCTGTTTACTATGGATATGGGATATAGCATAAGTCAGTGAGAAAGACTGTGATGGTGTTTCTTAGACAGTACTGCAACATTTTCCACTTATCAATCCCTATTAGTATCACACTGTACATACGTGCATGGTCAACTAAGTCCCTGTTGGTTCTTATGCCTGTTTTTTCAAACTTCATCCTTACATGGGCAGCCATTCATCCAGACGCAATCACCTGCCTTTGTATTCAGAAGCAGGCAAACTACATTGATGAGTGCTGACAATATGATGCATCATTGTTCTTTTGTGTGTGTGTGTGTGTGTGTGTGTGTGTGTGTGTAGACAGGATATGAGTACATGGAGGCAGTGCAGAAGCATGTCGATGAGCCTCCATTCAACTTCAGTCTGATAGCAGGAGCTGGCTTCTGCCACGACGCAACCTGGACACTGGCCTACGCTCTCAACCGCACCGTGATGGGTATAGCATGCTTGTTATATTGTTATGATGCTGTATTAATTAGCCAGCTGGATGACCTAGGAACAGCTACCCGTCTGGTTACCGCACTGACTCATTAGAACAGGAAGATGACTAGAACTAAAATTGCCTACAATAGTAGCGGAAGCAACCCACTGATGCATCAAGTTTGAGATCACCAGCCAAATCATCCGGCCAAGTCTGGAAGCCTTCTACTGTGCCAATGTTCTTTTATCTACATACAGCTGACATATGGTATACATTCACATGCGTACACAAGGCAGTAGGTACTTCAACCAACGTAGGGGCAGACCCATCAGATAGAGCTAGAAGGTTTACTAGGATAGGGCTAGAAGGTTTACTAGGATAGAGCTAGAAGGTTTACTAGGATAGAGCTAGAAGGTTTACTAGGATAGGGCTAGAAGGTTTACTAGGATAGAGCTAGAAGGTTTACTAGGATAGGGCTAGAAGGTTTACTAGGATAGAGCTAGAAGGTTTACTAGGATAGGGCTAGAAGGTTACATTACTTGTCTAGTGTTCACCCACACACACTACTGTATAAGTATTTCGTGATAGTACAGCGAAACCGACAAACAAGGCACACTATGGGGCCAATGAATTTGTCCCTTGAAGAGAAGCCGTCCCTTTCGCAGAGGTCAAATAATACAGTATTAGCATGGGTTCGAAACAAGTGTCCTTTGTAGAAAGGTAATCAGGGTACCAAATCGATGGTTCTTTGAATACCTTTCTGCTGGGGCTGAAGTTTGTCTTTCTGTATAATATTGCTTTGTTATTGCTTCATGCTGCAGTATAATATTATCTCTGTTTGTATCATAGAATTGATGAATGACGAAGATCTTCGCCAGAACGCGAGCATTGCATCAGGTCTGAACTCTTCCGACTTCTCCCTGGCTGATTTCAGCTACCAGAACAACGTGGTCCAGCAGACTATGTTGCAACACTTGACCTACACCCACTTTACTGGAGTCACTGTGAGTCCCTTAATCAGCACTCTTAATAAGTTTGATTTTTGCTTCAGTTACGATTTTTGGGGAATGAAATGTGACATGTGCACATAAAGGGCCACTAATTATCCCATGCCACACGGTCGATTGCAATGTCTCTTGATATAAAACATGCTGGCAGCATTGATGACTAGCATTTAGAGCAAAACTCGGCAGACTACTTGTCTTCCAGGTAACTGTGCCTTGTACCTTAAGATGCTGTGGAACACTGTGCCTACCAAGGTGGAGCAGGTAAACACTGCAAAGCTGGCTTTTATGCAGTATCTCTTTAACGCTCTTGAGTCAATATTTAACCCTCGGCGCGCATGCGCAGCGAGGGTTACGGTAGTTGGGTCTGTCTGTCTGTGTGTTACTCTACATCTCACTTCACGGGTGTTTGTTCATCTCACAAAGGATACGATCTACTTAACGGGCAATGAAGGTCAGAAAATATGTGGGCTTTTCTCTGAAAATGCTCCGTTGCAGAGCTACAGCGCGAAAAAGCCAATATGCAAATACACAACGGACGGGATGGCTTACCACGGTCTGATCGATCCGCGTGCTCTGCGTACCTCGGAGGCACCAGAAGATGCAACGCAGGGCGTGTATCGCCTCTCGCATGCTATCTAGTAGTGTAGTTAGCCCGCATCAGACTCTGCGCGAGTCTGCAAGAGACCACGAGTAACAGCTAAAACTAAACCCAGCCCATCAATTAGTGGTACGGCGCATGCGTTTTCTTACGCGTGCGCGTCACAGTGCGACGAGGGTTTGCACTTCAGTGCTTTTCATTAATTTTTATTTTTTGTCTTGTTGTTTTGAAGCTGCTAGTATCACTCACAGGCTGCCTCATTGCTTGTGGTGCAGCAATATCTAGTATCTAATATCTTGTACCTTAAGATGCTGTGGAACACTGTGCCTACCAAGGTGGACAAACACTGCAAAGCTGGCTTTTTTGCAGTATCTCTTTAACACCCTTGAGTCACTATTAAATTTTTTTTCTAGTTCTTGTCGTTTTGAAGCTGCTAGTATCACTCACAGGCTGCCTCATTGCTTGTGGTGCAGCAATATCTAGTATCTAATATCTTGTACCTTAAGATGCTGTGGAACACTGTGCCTGTGGACAAACACTGCAAAGATGGCTTTTTTGCAGTATCTCTTTAACACCCTTGAGTCACTATTAAATTTTTTTCTAGTTCTTGTCGTTTTGAAGCTGCTAGTATCACTCACATAGCCTGTGGTGTAGGAATATCTAGTATAGACAGACTGAATGACCAACTCACACACACTTATAATCCTCATGGTGCATGCGTGCCGAGGGTTAGTGAGTGCAAAATTTTATGCTGTGTACTTACATAATCGTAAGGGTGTGTGACAATACCCTAACGTGATTAAAAAACGGCGTTTGTAACTGTGTACTTGGTGGGCCAATTTCACTTGCATACCTACCAACCATCCAGCTTTTTGCTTGATAATCTAGCAAAAATACTGCCTATCCCACCAGAAAATTGCCAAATCCCTCTTTTTTGTGCTAACCTGTGATGCATTATGCCCATACATTGTGAATGGACACACAGCATTTTAAGCAAATCCAAATCAAGCAAAGTTGACACATTTCTCAGGTTTATCTGCAGGTTGGTAGGTATTCACTTGCCAATTATGATTGTGTTATTTTGACAAACCCTGACTCTATTTCACTCAATGTTGTTGTTGTTGTTGTTGTTGTTGTTGTAATGTCTGCAGGGTCAGGTGAAGTTCCACGAGGGAATCAGAGACGTGGATGACCTGAGAGTCTTGCAGATCCAGAGGAACTCTACCGGAGGCTACGACTGGGTCAAGGTACAGCACACTGTTGATGTTTTACATGTGTAGCCGCCGTCAGTATGTCGCCTGCTTGATCGTCAGCAAACAGAAATCACTGCGAGACTGAATTACAACAATGGTGCAATCCGGTGACAGGAAGCTAATTATAATCCCTATATACTAAGTACTACCGTACTTAGTGTTTTGTGTAATTGGCTTAATGAATAATTATGATTGTGCATGCGTATAATTACCGTTTGTCACATTATGTGTAACATACGACCCGTAGACCGGCATTGCACACATACTGTATTGTACTGTTATATGTGATTCTAATTACGCATGAAACACGTGCGAGAATCGAACTGATCACTTCCCTGGCCGAAAATACATTGCATTCGTTCTATATAGTAGGAAATAAATTTTTTCAGTCGAAGTAGTGATATAGACGTGAATAATATTATATATGATTCCATAGCTGTGGTTGTAGTTTTAGAGTGTGATGTGGATTTACTCTGGCAGGCAATAGTGTTACATATCCTGCATGCCTGATGAGTAATTGCACAGCTTCTGTTTACTACCTTCCAAACACATTAACGAAAACAGACTAGCTTCATGTAGTTAGTACAACTTTAATTTATGTACTTACACACTTGTTTACTTACAAAATTGTTACATTTACTTTTCCCCATCGTTGGTGTCTCTGTTTCCTGTATTGCCACCTTTCTCCACAGATTGCTTCGGTGATAATCAACAATGAAAATGCCACTGATGTTTCTTTCAGATATGTCTCGGGGGTCTCAAATGACACTGTATTTCCAGGTAACTAAACTACTCATTTACATATATCTGCTTTTGCACTACGTACCCCGTGCATGTTCCCATAATGGTGTACTCATAACGGCATACCTTCAAAGGAGCTACGGCGAAAGTCGCAGTATTGGCCGTCGCTAGAAACACCCAAAGGCCTAGTGTTCGGGGTGGTGGGGGTGGGGTGGGGTGGGGGCAGCTAGGGCTATAGGGCTCATGTAACAATAGACCATGTGATGCCAAGAGAAAAAAGATGCGAGCTCTGGACAGCTGTTTCGGGCTTGTTAGCCCTCATCAGCAAAGCATACCGCAACTTCTCTCTCTGGCATCACGAGTTTATAAAGGCAGAGTTGAGCGCAGCACTTGTGGTTTTGAACTCATGAGATTCATCCCCACAAGGCTTGTCAGGTGCAGCACTGTGTCGACAAATGAGATTCACCCCACAAGGCGTTTCAGTAGAGCCAAAACCCGAATTCAGCATGCTGACATAGTGGATTGGGCCGCGGCAATGAAGCCAGCAAGCACCCATATCCTGCCAGCGCATACACATGTAACAATAGACCATGTATACGTTTGGTTAGGCTAGGGCTAGGGCTCATGTACACCTTTGGTTAGGCTAGGGCTAGGGCTAGGACTAGGACTGTTACACACTATGTTGAGCAGCTAGGACTAGGGCAGCTTCGAAAAGAGAAGAATGTTATACAACACACACAGTGCACAATTTTGAATAGGTTTACTTTGCACTTGAGTAACTTATCAAAGTGTCGGAAAACGCTCTATGTAGGGATGGCACGTGATCCGCTTACAAAATGCCTCAAAACTCGGCGAGAATGACACGCCATGCCTGCTCTACAGGCCAATATCTAGCTATACATGTGCCGAAAGACTTCGTACGTGCCCTCAGTTCTCCACGCGAAAATCGCTCATATTCAAATAAAAAGCACTAAAGTGCAAACTGTAATCGAAATTTCTGACCAGAGCAAGCGGACCCAGTCGGGGTAGCCTGTTGAAAATATTTTCCGTTGCGATAAAAATGGCCGACTACGCATTAGCCGTACAATTGGTGGAAGCACTCTAGCTTTGCAACGAAGCATTTTCAGAAAAAAACCGTTCGAAATTTCTGACCTTCATTGCCCGTTCAGTAGGTGGTATCCTTTGTGAGACGAACAAACACTCGAGAAGTGAGATGAGGAGAAACAGACAGACAGACACACACAGACGCAACTATACTGTAACCTTCGCTGCGCAAGCGCGCCAAGGGTTAATTAATAGGCAAAATACGATCAGACAAAAGATATAGGGATGGTGTCATGTAGCTTTGTGTACCTTTGCTGTGTAATGACCCCTTGTTTCTTCCTTTTTCAAGTTTTGAGCCATCCCTATATCCCCTTCATTTTTTTCCTTTTTGAGACATGATTTTTACCTTCTGTGTGTTAATACAGAGGGTATTCCCCATGATGGCATACCTCTGGTGGAGGATGTGACCATTCACCTGTCACTGACTATCCTCATCTCACTCTTTGTGGCTGCTGGGCTGGCCTTCAGCATCGTCTGCCTTGTCTTCAATACTCTCTTCAGACAAAGAAAGTAATGTGCCTAAACTATTATGTTATATTATACTGTAGTCTGCAGTACATGTATTTACCTACATACGTAGTACATAATTAACCCTCGGCGTGCATGCGTCAGGTGTATATACGTAGGTTGAAATGGTATATAGGATTTTCTCTCAAACTGCTGCATTCGAGAGGTACGGCATGAAAACCAAGTGAACAAGCTAATGTAATTAGCACAAGCTTACCTCGGCCAGATAAGCTTGCTCTGCGTAACTTGGAAGCACCAGAGGTTGCAATGAGGGTCGTGTATCGACTCTCGCATGTTATCTGGTAGTGTAGCTAGCCTGTTACCGACTCCCAGTGACCTGGTAGGAGACCACGAGTAGGTAAAATGGCCCAGCCCATCAATTAGCAGTACAACCATGCATAAACTTCTGCGTGCATGCGTTTCTAGTGCGCCAAGGGTTTTCACTTTAGTGCTTTTTCATTAACCCTCGGCGCGCATGTGCAACAAGGGTAGTGTGTCTGTCTGTCTGTTACCACGTTTTCTGCGACTATGCGCAACGAGATAACAAAAAAGCGATACCAACGGGTTCGTCGCTAAACTGGCTTCATTTTAAAAAGGCGATTTTCGTAAAACTACTGTGTTTTAAAGTTATGGCGTGAAAAACAAGTGAACAAGCCAATATGTAAATTAGCACAGGCTTATCTCGACCGCGTCCGCTCGCTCTGTGTATCTTGAAGGAACAACGAAGGGCGTGTATCGACTCCACATGCTATCTACTACTGTACCTAGCCCGTGCCTGACTCTCCGCGAGCTACTAGCGGGATACCACGAGTAAAGGCATACAAAGCCCAGCCCATCAATTAGTGCTACTGCGTATGCGCAGTTCGCCGAGAGTTCATTTAACAAATAATTTAGTTAAAGTATGTATTATGAGTGTGCTGTGAATGTAAATTTAGTAGGCTTTAACAAGCTGAATTGAACGTGTTAATTAACAGTTAACTGCTACATAAATATAAGTCCCTTTTGAGCTCTTCCGTGGCAGACACTGTATGACGCCATTTCCTGCTAACTCAGCAGCACGTGCCAGCATGCAGGGAAGCATTGTCCTTATGCGTGTGCAGTTCATCGCGGGCGGCGGGTGGCGTCACGTAGTTATGTAACATGCATTTCTGCTGTTGGTTTGCTCAGCAGGTGTGCTATGCTGGTGTTTCAGTTTCCCGGTCTAAGCACATACGATCAGACAAATATGGTGTCATGTAGCTTTGTGTGTCTTAGCTGTGTGATGACCCCTTGTTTCTTCCTTTTTGGTGCTTCAAGCCATCCCTATATCCCTCTTGTTTCATGAAAATCACAAACAAACAGAAGTATTCAAACACATAGCAATGCATGCACGGGTCTCTCCTCCCCAAGCAAACAATTTGGTTGTTTCGCGGAGCCATGTTTTTAGCCATCCCTGTATCCCCCTCATTTTGAAGAAATGATTTATGAAATATGGAAGCATGGGACTTTGAATTATAGATGAACTATAGGGCGGGACTGATGTTACTCACGTTTTCCCTCGGTCTCTCGCAGATTGATTCGACTGTCCAGTCCCAACCTCAACTACATCATCTGTGTGGGAGCCATCATCCTGTATCTGGACATGATCCTACTGGTCATCCCATCCACGGATCGGAGGGTCGTGTCCGTCCTGTGTAACCTGAATCCCTGGTTTACTTCCATTGGCTACTCTCTCTGCTATGGAACCATCGTCGTCAAGATGTTCAGAGTCTACTACATTTACTCCAATCCTTCTCCCCGCAAGAAGGTATGTAGGTGTCCCCACTCCAATCCTTCTCCCCGCAAGAAGGTATGTAGGTGTCCCCACTCCAATCCTTCTCCCCGCAAGAAGGTATGTAGGTGTCCCCACTCAATCCTTCCCCGCAAGAAGGTAGGTGTTCCCCACTCCAATCCTTCTCCCCGCAAGAAGGTATGTAGGTGTCCCCACTCCAATCCTTCTCCCCGCAAGAAGGTATGTAGGTGTCCCCACTCCAATCCTTCTCCCCGCAAGAAGGTATGTAGGTGTTCCCACTCCAATCCTTCTCCCCGCAAGAAGGTATGTAGGTGTCCCACTCCAATCCTTCTCCCCGCAAGAAGGTATGTAGGTGTCCCCACTCCAATCCTTCTCCCCGCAAGAAGGTATGTAGGTGTTCCCACTCCAATCCTTCTCCCCGCAAGAAGGTATGTAGGTGTCCCCACTCCAATCCTTCTCCCCGCAAGAAGGTATGTAGGTGTCCCCACTCCAATCCTTCTCCCCGCAAGAAGGTATGTAGGTGTCCCCACTCCAATCCTTCTCCCCGCAAGAAGGTATGTAGGTGTCCCCACTCCAATCCTTCTCCCCGCAAGAAGGTATGTAGGTGTCCCCACTCCAATCCTTCTCCCCGCAAGAAGGTATGTAGGTGTCCCCACTCCAATCCTTCTCCCCGCAAGAAGGTATGTAGGTGTCCCCACTCCAATCCTTCTCCCCGCAAGAAGGTATGTAGGTGTCCCCACTCCAATCCTTCTCCCCGCAAGAAGGTATGTAGGTGTCCCCACTCCAATCCTTCTCCCCGCAAGAAGGTATGTAGGTGTTCCCCACTCCAATCCTTCTCCCGCAAGAAGGTATGTAGGTGTCCCCACTCCAATCCTTCTCCCCGCAAGAAGGTATGTAGGTGTCCCCACTCCAATCCTTCTCCCCGCAAGAAGGTATGTAGGTGTCCCCACTCCAATCCTTCTCCCCGCAAGAAGGTATGTAGGTGTCCCCACTCCAATCCTTCTCCCCGCAAGAAGGTATGTAGGTGTTCCCACTCCAATCCTTCTCCCCGCAAGAAGGTATGTAGGTGTCCCCACTCCAATCCTTCTCCCCGCAAGAAGGTATGTAGGTGTTCCCACTCCAATCCTTCTCCCCGCAAGAAGGTATGTAGGTGTCCCCACTCCAATCCTTCTCCCCGCAAGAAGGTATGTAGCGTAGATCGCCAATTATCGCACCCTTAAGGAACGGCGTCCACTACGCTGCGGAAAAGTTACGTACTTATTCCTAACGTCGTGCCCTGCGAGTTTACGTACTGTAGTACCTTCGTATCCAGTTTCCGAGTGGAAACTCCGTACGTAACTGTAGCGGTAGTGCGTCCAGCGCGCAAGGTAAAAAACCAGTTATCGCTACCGGCACCAATTATCGCTTCGCATACAATATTGCGCATTCAATTATCGCCCGTCTCCGAACTTTGCCCTCTCCCGGTTCCCGTGAGCTAATGGTTTCTATTTCACGCCCGTCATGACATACTACACGTCCAATTCTACACAACGGTATGTTTTTAAGTCGGAAAATCTTCTCCTTTAATGACCAAAAATGTGCACAAACATCACTATTACAGCATCAACCGGAAAACATGGCATTACAAACAGATAGGACAGAACCTCTCCCTGCCATTTGAGTCTAAAATACAATCTTCGCCACACTCTTCATGTAGCCAGCGGCCACATGCACATTCAATCCATTCTTTTCCTGTGCGATCTTCTGAGTATAAAATGCTACAAACACAGCACATATCAGTGTTGATTTCAGGGTCATCACTTTCCATTTGGGAGAGCTTACACACTCTTTTCTTTGGAGGCATAGGTATGTCAGTGGCTTCATTCGAAACCTTTCTCTTCCCTGCTCCTTTCGCTTTCTCTTTCCTCTTTTCTGCTGCCTCCTTCACTTTGTTTGCTTTTGTTTCTGCCTTTCTTTGTCGTTCCTCGGCTTTCCGTTTCTGTTCCTCCTCCCTTTGCCGCTTTTTCTCTTCCCTTTCGGTTTTCTTCCTTTCCTTTTCCTCAAGTGCTAGCTTCTTTTTTCGCTCTTTTTCTTCCACTTGTGCCAAAGCGTCGGCACTAGTCAGTAAACGGGCCTGAGGAACCCTCTTTGGATGTGTAGGCTTAGGGGGAAGTGTCAGGTACTTGGAAATAGAGCGCTCACTTGACAGCCCAGATGAAGATGAACGCCTTGGTTTTGCCACACTCTGGGAGAGACTCTGGTCTGCGGCACTGGGAGAGCGAGTGGTGGTGGCACTGGGAGTGAGAGTGGTGGGAGGGTCTGCGGCACTGGGAGGGAGAGTGGTGGGAGGGTCTGCGGCATTGGGAGTGAGAGTGGTTGTGGCACTGGGAGAGTCTGCGGCACTGGGAGGGAGAGTGGTGGGAGGGTCTGCGGCATTGGGAGTGAGAGTGGTTGTGGCACTGGGAGAGTCTGCGGCACTGGGAGGGAGAGTGGTGGGAGGGTCTGCGGCATTGGGAGTGAGAGTGGTTGTGGCACTGGGAGGGTCTGCGGCACTGGGAGGGAGAGTGGTGGGAGGGTCTGCGGCACTGGGAGAGAGAGTGGTGCAAGAGAGACTCGTATCTGCGGCACCGGCACCAGAAGGACTCAGATTTGTCGTGGTAGGTGAACCAACTGGGAGCTTCACAGCAACAGGCACAGAAGAAAAGTAGTCACTGAGAGATAAGTCATCATCGATTATTGGTAGAGATTGAGGATGATTGATTCTAAGCCACCTGACATATTCTCTATCTGTAAACACATCAAAGCCTTCTTCGTGGCGTTTTCTAAACCGTTGCTCCTGCTCAGCTGTGAAGTCCTCTGATTCACTCTCAGGACTGGTATCATTAGTGCCTTCTCCAGGAGGAGTGAAATCGGACGAGGGCATTCCATGAGAAACATTGATGGCAGTAGCGTTAAACGGATAGATTCCGCATGTGCGAAAGCCAGCAGCAATATTCGCTGGTGTTACTGCGGCACTCCATGCCTGAGAGAAGAGAGCACTGAACTGAAAACGGGTAATGACTCTCCCGGGGTTTTGCTGCAAGTATGAGTGACAAACATTTGACCAGTGAGACTTTAGTGGCCCAAAAACACCACAATCTAGGGGTTGTGCCTCATGTGTTGTGTGTGGGGGGAGACATAGCATGATGATATCGTGTTCCTTGGCTAGCCGCAACAGCTTGGGCTGATAATGAGTGCTGTGCCCGTCCAGTATCAGCAGCAAAGGCCTGGCTGAAACCGCATGGGGAACAAAGTGCTCACACAACCATGCCTCAAACAAATCAGAGTTAATCCACCCGTTGTCGCTGAGGCCATACTTCGTCCCTGGGAATTCACCCATGGTCCATGCAGCATTTAGTCGTTTTGCATCAAAGATGACCATGGGTGGGAGCGCATGCCCAGATGCACTAGCACATCCCACAATAGTTACTTGCCCCTTCCTACCAGATTGTCGATAACGGACCTTTTTGGTTCCCCTAGTGGTCACAATGTTGGGAGCACGAGGGTCGAACGGAATGCCACTCTCATCAACATTGTAAATCTGAGAGGGTTTTGAGTGAAGGTCAAACTCGGTCATGACATCGTTAAGCAAAGCAAAGTACTGCTTCATTGTGTCGGCATTGACGGCATCCATACGGACATGGGCGGTGGAGTCACCGCGTCGCAAAGAAAGGTCAGGCTGGCGCTGTAGAAATCTTTTCCACCATCCCGTTGAAAGCCTAGTCCCCTTCAACAAGCCTTTATCAGCAACTGCCGACTGAACAATGTGCATTACGTCTCTCCTGGTCTTCCCGTACCCTAAATTGGCACCAGATTTAAGAAAACTGCCAAGTTCTTTCTCTTCATCAAGACTAAGGTAAGGTCTTGGCCCTGGTTTAGTACAACTCTTCCACTAATCCGATCCCGTAGCGTGCTAGGCGGCACCCCGTGCTCCTCTGCTGCCCGCTTAATCGCCATGCCATTCCTAACTGCACTCATTGCCGCAGCAATCTCTTCATCTGCCCATTGTTTACGCTTACTTTGCCTTCTTGACGTAAGGAGGACAGCGGGAGCAGACTCGCTCCTTCTCCTGCAACAAAAACTTCGCTTCCTTTTAGGCATTCCTTCCAACTGATCATCTGCAATAGAGAGGAGTGTAATTTTAAAGTTTTGGTGTACGTTTTCCAGCTCACCAGTAAGAATTATAGCCCTAGCTCACGGTTCGTCGGCGAGGAAGATGGCGTGGTCAGTGCGTATGCTCCGTACATCTCAGTAAATGTGACACACTACGCATGCCTACCGCTTTTACGCGCGGGCAGGGTTTTGTCACGATAATTGGTACCGCGCGATAATTGGCGCTTTACGCTATGTTGAAACTAAAAGCTGGAGGCAGTAGAGACATAGACAGAGACCATTATTGTCTCCTATACAACGACGTAATTAGGTTTTAGCATCTTTGCTTGTGGTTTCATGGGCAAGCTTTAGTAATAGTTACATAGATGCTAGGGCACAAACAATGGAGGCTTCAACAATATGTGCAACAGCACTCTGCACACAGACGCTTGCGAAATTGCCCCATTACAAACACAGCCAATGCAGGTTAGCTGGTTGGAAACTGCTTTTTAGACCGATTTTTACGAGGGGTCCGCTACTTGCAGAAATCTCGTACGCTTTTCCATCGATGGGGCCTGGGGCATGCGAAACTCATGAAATCTCGCATGAAATCTGAAAATCCCTGGGAATTCCCTAAGAAATCCCGAAATCCTCGTGAAATCTTGGAAATCTTCATGGAAATCTTGAAATCCTCGTGAAATCTTGGAAATCTTCCGTGAATTCCCGAAATCTTCACGGAAATCTTGATATCTTTTCGAAATTCCCGGAAATCTCGAAATTTTTACCTGCAATTGTGCGTTGAATGGTGTAAAGAGGGGCGTGTTCAATACCTCGCATGCGCTTTGAGTAACATGCACATGCGTCCATTTACACCCTGCTGTAGTTAAAGGTCACATTTGTGCGAGGCGATGGCTGAAGTTTTGCAACATGTACCTCATTTACACCCTGCTGTAGTTACATTTTGTCAAGGTCATGTTTGTGCGAGTGTTTCATACAGCTATATAATGGCTCCTTGTTTAGAAAGCAACGACGGCATTCGTATTGTTTCTGATTTCATCTCCTGCTACATGGCCTCCTCTGTCCCGTTCTTTGGAACGCTCTATGATGACAGGACTGTGGTTATCAACAGCGAACTCATGCTATGAGAGGCTCGACGAGAGGTCCTTTGAGCGTACACGGCAAGAGCAGCTAACAAACATGCTGCTTACTCCAGCCTTCATTGTTCATGTGGTCTTGATGTCTGGTCTCTGTGTGTTGTTCATGCTTCTTTCACTAGATCTGGTTTTCAAGATTGTGTATGCTAGCTGCTCTGGAGTAGTTGAACTTCTGACTCCACTGTTCACAGCATGTACCAGGGGGTAGAAAATGGCTGTATACCTGGCCTAGAGAGTGGCTGGGGATAAAGCTAAGACTGAAGGTGCCATACCATTCTTCGCCTAAATATTGTGGTTCCAAACAGCCTTCTGCGATGCCTCCTGCGCTAGCCCCTAGCAGAAAATGTATCGCACACAGCACAGTGTACAGTACACAACCTGAAATCCGTTGCCAAAGTCCCGAAATCCCTACAGTGGAACGCTGAAATCCTGAAAACGCCGCATGAAATCCGAGGGGAAATCTCAAATCCAGAGGAAATCCCAGAAATCTTCAGGGAAAATCTTGCAGGAAATCCCACAAACCTCTCAGGAAATCTAGAAATCTCTCTTGAAATCTGGAAATATCCCGGAAATCTTTCTGGAATCTGGAAATCCTTTGCTAAACGAGAAATCTCGTACGCTTGTGGAATAAGTGGCGGACCTCTCGGATTTTTACTTACAGAAGTATATAGGGGACTTGAGAGCGAGCTTGAGTTTCGCATGCACACGCAGGACTGCGCACAGGCGCGCGCATCGGAGCCACGCCTTCTCAATCAGCAGCACACATGCCAGAGGAGGATGGACGCGACATAATCTTACGGTAACATTGGGGGGGTTGAACTCGACCAAATACTATGCACGTGGTAATTACAAGTTCCGTTTATTTAGGATCATGTACAACATTACGGTATCGGTGGCAGCGTCGTCTGATTAAAAATCTCCCGCTCGTCAATAACCACGGGCATGATTCACAGTATACGTAAGAGAAAATTTATGGAAGACGCTGGGTTTGCTGCCTTGCCCTGCGACAACCCTCAGTCATTCAAAAGCTTTTGGTAAGTACATTCCAGATATCAAGTCATCTGCATCCAACCCCTACCTTCCCATGGCATCAGATAACTTTTGAAGCCAACACCGTGGCCAGGCACGGGCAGACAGCCTTACCTAGGCCTCGAGTCTACTTTTTCCACTGTTCAAGCCTTATTCGGAGACGTAAAGACCAAAATACGGCTTACCTACTAGAGTACAAGAGCTGTGAACTTCGACTACGGTACACGGTATATTCACTTCAAAGTGTATCTGCTACGCTTCAACTGTAACACAATACCTCAAACGACCAAAATACAGAAGACGTGCAACGTAATGCTGTTCACCCAGTATTGGTATATACTACGAAGTATCCATTGGCTTCATGAGCATATACTTCATACAAAGGCAGTGTTGGCTACAGATAACTTTATATCTGGAATCTACTAGCAAGGTGTTTTCAATTGTCTCTTGTAGATTATCGTGAGGTAAGGCACTAAACTCGACGTCTTCTTCGTCCCCATGCATTTCTATGTAATATGAATGGGGGTAACTAGGATTTTTTTTTTTTATTATTATAAGGTTGATGCATGATGGCAATGGCACAAGCAATAGCAACTAAATGCTAATATTAAGCCTGCCCATGAACAAAAAGGCAAAACAGAAAAAATATATAACAAAAGAAATAAAATGAGTGCACAAACTAGGGAATGCTAAGTAGTGAGAGAGATTTCAACCGTTTTTTAAAGGAGAAGCTAGATGGAGCACTGACGACTAGGTCTGGTAAACTGTTGAAGAAAGACGACTGATGAGAGGCAGTCCTGGCAAAGGGCGTGACTAACGGATAGGAGTGATGAAGGGGTAAGGGATGAAATAGGTGGGAGGAATGATTGAGTGGCCTTTGAGAATACGAGCACAGATCATGGTCTTCTGCCTCCATCGCCGCTCCTTGAGTGGACATAAACCAAGGAGTGAATAGGGTGAGTTGAAGAATAAGGGGTAAACCAACGATTGGTGATTATTCTCGCAGCCAGCCTCTGAACAGATTCAAGTTTGTTGACAAGTAAACTAGACTGGGGATCCCAAACAGAGCTACACTAGTCCAGAGTAGGCAACACAAGGACACGGTAAAGGTGGAGTAGGGTAGGGGAGTTGGCTTGGTTGAAAGTCCTGTGAATGATACCTAGTTGTTGCCTGGCCTTAGCACAAACGTTGGTGATGTGAGTGTTCCACTTGAGGTCACTTGACACTGTGACTCCAAGGAAACAGATGGAATCAACATTCGGTATAATAGTAGAGTCGACAGCAACAACAACAGCAGGACGCATATTCTTGCGAGAGAAGACAACAACTTTAGACTTGTTCGCATAAAGGCCAGCATTGCTGATCCACTCAGCAACTTTTTAATGTCCGACTGAAGAGCATCGACATCGCAGGAGGAGGTAATAGGTTTGTAAAGAACAATGTCATCAGCGTACATTATCATGGTAGAATCTTGACAAAGGGGAATCTTTGTTAGAGACTTTACATAGATGGAAAACAGAAGAGGGCCCAAGATGGAACCTTGAGGTACACCAGAGGTGACAGGGTGGACTTCCGAGGTGTAGCCATCCAGGACAACTCGTTGAGATCTGTTTGAGAGGTAACTACGGAACCAGTTAAGAAGAGAACCCGATACACCAACATTTGCAAGAGCAGATAGGAGTTGGCAGTGTGGAACTTTATCGAAGGCTTTTGACAAGTCGAAGAATACAGCAGCCACAGAGAGGCCCTTGTCGAGATAACAAGACCAGTCATGGGTGGCGAAGAGTAAAGCCTCCTGGGTAGAGCTACTGGGGCGAAAACCAAATTGGCGAGAAGAAAGAAGGTCGTTAGACAATAGGTGGTTCAGGAGGTGGTTATGAACAATCCGTTCAAGAATCTTTGATGGAAGAGAGAGTAAGGAAATTGGCCTGAAGTTCATGCATGACATATCGAGGGTCACCTTTACCTTTGAAGACAGGGGTAATGTTAGAGACCTTCCATTCAGATGGAACTGCACCTGTAGAGAGGGATGCGTTGAAGACTTGGTTAAAGTAGGGGAAATAACGTATGCAGTGTGACGAAGCATGTGACTGGAGATACCGTCCGGGCCAGAAGCAGTCTTCACCTTCACGGATCAAGAAGTCCTCGTCAGAGGTACAAGAGATAGTAGACAAACTAGCCTCAGGATACCAACAGTCTAGGAGAGATGAATTACAGAGACAGACCTGGCCATGAGACGAACGACAAAAATAGGCGGAGAAGTGAGAGACGAGAAGGTTGGCCTTGCTGATAGGAGACACAACAGTGGTGATGCCGTCATTTAATGTAGAAGGAATTCTCTGTCTGTTAGGAGTAAGAGAGTGGTACAGAGACCAAAACTGCTGGGGTAACGTATGAGTGAGGCCAGGTTTTCAAAGAATTTGCAGTTAGATTTCCGTAAGCCAGAGACTGATTTATTGCGGAGCAATCGGAACTTATTCAGGTAGAAATTCGAATTGGTTGCTTTGAATTGAGAGAAAGCTATGTCACGTTTACGAAATAGATTGACGATATCCATGGTAGAGATTTCTTCACTCTGCAGACCTTCGTTGGAATATGTGAGGAGAGAACTCGTAACAGGTGGGACTTTCAGCTAATCCAGGACAAATTAATATCATCAGTGGGGGAAGGAAGAGTAACCAGGATCCTGCAGATTGTTTCCCAATCGGCGCGTGAGTAGTTCCAGATTCAACGGGTGACTTTTATTGCAGGACACTTCGCCCAGTTAAATGATAGTTGGATAGATATGTGGTCAGAGGAAGCCAGTGGTGCACAGGTGGAGCAAGAGAGCATCAAGGATGGATTCGTCAAGTATACATGGTCGATGGTGGTTGAACTAGTACTGGTTATTCTGGTAGGCTCAGTAAAGGTGAAATGAAGAGAGCATACCAGTTAGGTCCGTCGACACCTGATTCTTGGCCAGCAGGTCAACATTGAAGTCACCAAGAAGGAGGCAAGACTTCAGCTGGGATGGACTTAGAGACAGAAAGGCATCCCCAAGGTCGGTGTAATCAGAAACAGATGACGGAGGGAGGTAATAGAGAGCGAATGTGAGTAAGTCTTGTCTGAATTTCAGTTCGACAATAAGGAGCTCGAGAGAGAGATGCCGACAGATACAGGTAGATGGAATATTGTCACTTACATATATTATTGCGAGGCCACCTCCATGACGATTTCTGTCTCGACGAATTAGGTGGAAGTTATGGATGACAAAGCTGAGTCAGAAATAGTCTCGTCTAGCCAAGTCTCACAGAGAGCAATGATTAAAGGTGTCGAAGAGGCAACAGTAGCCCTCAGGTTATCCATTTTGGGAAGAAGACTCCGACAATTGGAATAATAGACAAGGCAAGAGCCAGTAGGAGAGATCGGCGGGGTATCAGAGGAGATGGAGCAGCAGGAGAGAAGGGATGACTCAGGTTCTGTAGATATTCTAGAGGTGTCATGAAAGGGGAAGGCCTCCTTGTGAGAGCGATGACAGCACCAGCCTTCATCACTGAGAGACGGTCGTTGGTACTCTGAGAGACACACACTAATGCATTTGGCATGGTACCATTGGTAGCACACCTCACACGCTGGTTGGACTTTACGGCCTTGGAGCTGGTAGCACAGGGATGTTTTGGTCCAGGGCCAGGGTTTGTTTCAATGTCGCCAGTCAGGAGGAGAATGACGACAGAGAATAGAAAACTGGGGCGACAAACGCGAGGAGACCGAGAGTGACCCGGCCTCAAAGTCCATTTAGAGCACACCACCTCTGCCGGAACGACAAACGCGCTGTCAGGGGCAAAGCGAACAGCCCATAGGGGAACAGAAGACTCGCAGAGGTTCGTAGGGGTAGGAGAAACACGAATAAGCAGTCACGAAATGCAGAGACTGATAACAGTCAGCGGAGTGCCGCACTTCGTCATAGCCGTGGAAACTACGCCAGACTGGGTGACGGGTGAATCAATGCAGAGGTAACACATCGAGTGTAACACCGGCCTCGAAATTATTTGCACACGAGGAAGATTTGTTACACTTTGGTAGGGAGTAATCAAGTGAAATATATCCAAATCTTTCTCTTGTTTCTGAATAGCAAGTTATGTCCATGTGTCCGAAGTTACCCCCATTTACCTCACACGCAGTGAGGAATTTAATTAACTATACACGTTGCATTACATACTGTCTAAATCGTGTCCATCCTCCTCTGCACGCATGCATGCTGCTGGCTGCTTGCTGAGTGAGCAGCATATGGTGTCGTTCAATATTTACCAGCAAGAGCTCTATGATCTTCTGTAGTGACTTGCGACAAGAAAGAAACGATTGCTGTATGTCTGTGCACACCTCCGTGAACCTGCAGGCGTTTTGTGAACAGATCAGTGCTTCACCTAGTTCCGGTAAGGAGATACCGGGCTAAAGAAGAAGAAGAAGATGATGACACGAAAATTGTGAAATCGTGTAAGAACGACTTCTCACGTGGAGAACTGGAAGGTGCATATGAGGTCTTTGGGTATATGTTTAGCCAGATATCGGCCCGTACACTATTGCTAGTGTGTTTTGAAGGCCTAGTGAGTCATTCTGACCGAGTTTTTAAACATTTTGTATGCGGATCACATGTAACGAGAGAAAAAATGCAGAGCTATGGACAGCTGTTTCGGGCTTGTTAGCCCTCATCAGCAAAGCATACCGCAACTTCTCTCTCTGGCATCACGAGTTTATAAAGGCAAAGTTGAGCGCAGCACTTGTGGTTTTGAACTAAATGAGATTCATCCCACATGAGATTTTACCCCTCCCATCCCATTATAGAGTGTCTACCGACGCTCTAATATACTGCACAGAAATCTATGCAGTGAGTTTAAAGATTTATTTACCCTCAGCACGCATGTGCAGTGAGGTTTACGGTACTAGGTTTGTGAGTGTGTCTGTCATTCTGTCTGTCTGTCTGTCTGTCACAACGTTTTCTGCCACCATGAGCAAGAAATCCGCCTAAAACCTATAGTATTGGGTTCATTGCGACACCGGCATTAATTAATTTTTAATCAAGATGTTTTAGCATTTGTGCATAGAACACGTGAGATTTGACCTTGCAATCTGAATATAAAGCATCTACAAAATTATAAAATAAACACTATATCTCAGATAGAAGCCGATTTTGTGACTTTTTACCACTTTTTTTTCCTGTTTTGTCCACTCGATCACTGTGCAGAAGCTATACTGGCCAACAGTCAAGGTCTTGCCATTATCATTACCTGTGACTATGAAACAACTAAAGACCTGAAAACATTGCTGGGAACAAGGGAAGACGGCGAACAGATGAAGGAAACATTTCACTATCTCAAATACAAAGTTTATCACCTCTCAAATCCGAAAAAAGGTGAAATTAAAGAACTTCTGGAAAAGCTCTCGGATGATCTGGGAAAACATGGATTAGGCGAAAAAGAGGGAAGTGAAAAGGCCATCGTATTTGCATTCTCTGGTCATGGTTGCAGCAAAGGCCAAATTGAGTACATTTACACAAATGACGGTGGAACTCTTGAGCTTTTAGATGAGATTGTTTTTCCCCTCACAAGGCGTGAAAGTGTCCAACATGTTCCAAAGCTCTTCTTTATGGATGCCTGTCGTGGGGGTGAGATTCTTATGAAAGGCACTTGTCCAAGTGTCACTGATGACCACACTAATTTCCAGAAAGGTTATCAGCATGTTCTGGGCAACTACTACATTGCCTATGCCACTATTCCCCATCATGTTGCTTACGCCAATGCCAGTGGAAGCAGATGGATGCCCAAAATAGCCAAAGCTATCCGGGAAGAGGATGATTCATTCCAGAACATTGCAGCCAAAGTCATGGCGGAAGTAAATAAGGAAGTGAGTGATACGAAGCAACAGTGCGAGTCAATAAACCGTCTCAATACCGGTCCCCTCTACCTCAAAAGATTGTCTTAGTTATAGAGCTAACCATCAGTTAATTTTCAAGTATATTATGCATTTTATAGGAGGCAGTATGACGTCTAAGGATCAGCTTATTTTTGGCACTGCATGCGCTCAGTGAGGGTCAACAAAATCAAACAATTTCAATAGCCTGAAGCACTTGCTGATATGATCCATCAGGCCAGACAAAACACATGCACGTGTAAAAGCAATTTGAAGGGCATCATGAGCCTATAAATTTTTAAGGAATTTGCAGAGTGTGCGTCATCCCTCTGGGATCGAATGCATAAAATGTGGTCAGCGGAACATACCGGTCGCAATTTTTTATCTGACGGACACTTTTGGGACTTAGCCATTTTTTTGAGAATTTTCTCCACACGTGTGTGCAAAAGGCGGGGCTTTATGACAAATTCCTTCTCTGAGTCCCATAATCACCCCCATTTGCATTCAGTGTAGACAGCCGTACAAATCTGTGACACACGCATGGTCCTTTCCACTCACCTTGCGTTCATTTCTCAACAATATTTGGTAGCGAGGAAGAAAGGCAAGGCAAGGCAAACAAATCCACTACAACTCTAAAAGAATGTTCCTGGAAAACTGGTATATACAGTGGACTAGTGTAGCAAAAGAAGAGCTGCCTTGGGTGGGATTCGAACCCACAACAATCTGCAGCCTTGGGCACAGGTAATACAGTGAGCTAGATGGATCTATCTAGCCGCCTAGCGATGTAGCGATTAGCTGTCTAGTTTCTCCAAAGATGTGATAATTAAATTAGCCTATAGACCTGTCTAGCTAGTTACCTTTCCTCTGTGCCTAGAAAGCTATGTGTTAGCGAAATAACTTGGCTCCTTACTGGCAACGCGTGCGCACATCTAAACATATCGCAACGACTAAGTCCCAAAAGTGAAAATCGCGTATATACCTGTGCGTGGGCTAGGGCAGCAAAATTAATGTTGGGGTTTTTAGCTAGCTACTTGCTACAATAATTCATGCATGTGCTAAAATTAGTTGAACATGCCACAATTCAAGTCTTCTCTATCCAACCTGGTGCGTTTATGACCTACCTAACGCGCTGACTCGATCTCGCGTGGTCACTTCCGGTGGCAACGACAGCTACTATATATTCTTACGGCGTCTGGAACGCTCCAATGGAGGCGTTTTCAAATATCCAGCGCGATCCGGTTCTAACTGTACTAAGAGATGAAATAAACTCTGCTTTTTTAGCTACCACCGAGCTGGCTGAATTAGGAGTCGAAATATGGGAGGACCTATAATTGAGGCTTCTCACCTATATAGCCCTTGCTGGCCGGCAGGTCTGGCAGCGAGACTGATGACCAGTCTTGCAGTAGAGCGTAAGCAAGCCTACCTACATCAAGCAACGTCAGAGGTCAAGCTTTGTTTTGGAAAGCGTGGTATATAACCAGAATGGGGATGTGGATAAATTTGTATCTAATGTTGAGCAGCTTGAAATGGGCGAAAGTAAGTTGAAGTCGTTTCACGTTCATTATCTGTTATTCAGTGATCGTGAGTGCTGTTATCATTTGTTCCCAATTATTATTTTCTGCAAGAGACTCGAATGAGGAGTTCCCAGTGATAGTGATAGCAGCACTAACGATCACTGGAGTGATAGTTCTCCTTCTTCGGCCACATGCATAATTCTTGCCATCTGTCTGTATAAGAAAGACAATTAAGAGAGACTATTAGCGTGCTTGAAACACTAACTATGCACCAGTCTATATAATTATAGCAATAGTTTGCATTGTGAGTTTACTCGGTTGTGATTGATGTTGTAACAGTTTTTATTTGGACACCCTTGCTCCGTGATTGAAACATTCATGTGTTTGCTGCTCGCTCCTGCTCACCTACTAGTTATTGTTAGGTCTTGCACTTCATTATGCATAATGTATGCTTTTGATAGTGGCACGTTGCCTGACGGAATTACCTGTGGATTTCTTTTGCTCCGACTGTCAGTAGAGTTGCACTTCTCTTTTTATAATTGCCGAGCGCATTAGCGACAATGTTCTCTGGTGTCTTTAGATGCTTATGCTCTATTCAAAAGTGGTAGTATATAGCAGTCGATACACGCCCTTCGCTGCGGCTTCTTGTGCCTCCAAGGTACACAGAGCAAGCGGATCAGGGCCAGTCCATCGCGTCTAATACACGCATGCGCACCACTAATTGATGGGTTGGGCCACGCTACGTTATCTGTTTCTCGCGCTCGAACGCTGTCGTTTCAGAAAAATCACCATTTTATTTTTCATGCGCTTGTAGCGTTTGGTATCGCTCTTAGGCCGCCTCGTAGCCTGTAGTGCGAGAATAGTCACGCACACACTGTAACCTTCGATGCGCATGCGCGCCGAGGGTTAATAACATTCCTGGAAGAACTGCGTTCGGCAGCCAATAGCTACCGGTGTTAATCAGCAATGGCTTGCGCGATGAGAGTGTCTGTTCCACGGCACCCCGCGAGGCAAAAAAGCACCTTGGAGAACGGGCATTCAGTCTTGTGTTGCTCAAACACCTGTCAACCTCCCAGTAAAAAAAGGAGGGACTATGCTTCCAAAAAGCACGGATTTTATGTAAAGTAGAGGGGACACACGAATCTTTTACAAGTGATTCTGAAGAGTGAGTGACAATGAGTATTCAATGCGTGGTGAAGAGCACGTGGGCAACGAGGAGGGCAGGAATTCAGCGGTGAGAGCGCATGCGCAGTTCAAACACACGCGCAGAAGACGAGAAGCGAGCCACGCCTTTTATTCCGGCCGTATATAAGCGCTCTAGCTAAGAGGGGCGACGTTCGTAGGGCGACGTCGCGACCCCGTAATAAAACGGAATTCAGGACAAGTGACGTACTTGGCGGGACAGCGTGACATAGCAGTAAAAATCGGTATATACTGTCCCGCCAGTTTCGGGACGGTCGACAGGTTTGCTATATATAGCTGGCCAGTCTTAGTCGTCGCCAGCGCGGGCGTGGCCCAGCTAGAGTGCTCAACCTAGGATTTGCACTTTGGGAGAACTGGAAGCGCCAAACAGAAGAATTTAGAAAGAACCAGGAATTTAGACTTATCAAATAAGAGTTACAGTACAGTAGCTTTATAACTAAAACTACAACAGTGTCTCAAAAATCCATGCGGTAGCACCGTAGACAAAATCCTCAATTTATCGTAGCGCAGAGATGGACTCTGCTGAGCGATTGTGCCTGACGACACGACGAAAGAAAGGGAGTTGTATTTGTCAGTATCTAGCTTAGTTTTGAATGTTCACGGTGCTGAGGTAGCGCTCCATTTGGACCCGTCTCTCGCGTGTGGCATATTGAAAAACGGAAACAACAAACCAAGAGTAATTGTGGTGGAACTTGGTACCGAGGAACCAAGATAGTGTCGGGGGAAGAGAAACCATTATTGGCCGACAAGATGCTAGCGTAGCATATCGTTGGACAAATTCTACAAGCAATTGGAGAAGATGGCTATTCGTACCATCAGAGATCCCAACATAAACTAAATCAGCATCACTCCCTTTTGTGTTATAGTAAGAATTCACCAAGTGCAAGTTTATATGGTGTAGGCATTCCTGGGTCTTGGGCCCTAGGGGAATCAAGAAGTAGATCATTGGTCATCACAAGCGGAAAAATGAATGAGTCTCGATTTTATATTAGGGTTGGGTGGCAAGGTTTGCCACATAACGGATGTTGTCAGGGGTGAGAAAGCTGCCAGCTATTGTGCCAACGATACTGAGAAAAAGATTTACCAATGAAACAAATTATCAACAATTTCGAATTAGTTTTCACTCACGCCACACTGGACAATAAAAATAAAGAGGCAAGGAACATATTATAATAAAGCGTTGCCTCTCAGCCTCTGATATTATAGCCACTTTCACACTGTTACAGAGCGCAATGGTACGGAAGTTGGCCTTTTATGAAGCTGCATAGCAGCTTAATAGTAGTGTAATACCTACTCCTCACTGGTCACTGTTCCATTGTCTACATCACATCACAGCATACT